CACACACACACACACACACACACACACACACACACACACACACACACACACACATTCACAGAGGTGGAGTTTTATTGCTCGGCACACCTGACCCCCTTCATCCACCGCCCACAGGTCCAGCAACATAACTTCAAAAGTCCATGTAATCCCAGTAAGCTGCAGGTGGCCCTTCTAGACCGGCTCCCCAAATCTCCACAGTTTCCCCTCCTTTCTTCACACACTGCCCCCCTCTCTCTCTCTTCTCTCTCCCGTCTTTTCTCCAGGCTCTTGGTGTGGTGACTCGAACTGAAGCCGGGCCTGAATCAGGGTGGAGGCAGCACCCCAGCAACCGGGAMGCTTCACATTGTACCCAGCACCACAGCGGGACCGGGGGCACCTGAATCCAGGCTGTGAGGGAGGGCAGCAGAGTGCGAGGGAGAGTAGACCAAACACAGGGGAACAAGGACGCCTCTGCAGCAGCTGCGGAGTCCAAAGTGGGACTTGGGAGACACTTGTTTTTTTTCCCCCTCTTGGGGCCGGAGGGACTGCRGCTGAGTTTTTCTTAAGATTTTGGACAGTATTCCAGCTTCTCTGTAACAGGACCTGTTTGGAAAACAGAATGGATAAGGATGCTCTGCTGGACTATGAGTATCCAGATCTGGATCCTCTGCCTTCTAAAATTGAAACAGAGTAAGTTTATTCTTGAACTATTACTAATAAGTTTTTAATATTTCACTATTTATCCACATCTGAAACCAACCTGTCAACTCTTTAAGGCTGAGTATCAGTTCCTGAGTCTTTTGTTTGGATTTAGCTCTCAGTGAGATATTAGGTGACACATGGCACACTTCTGCAGGCCTCGGAGTCAGCGTGGGATTCTGTTTCAGTTCCTGTGTGTTGTAAAGTCAGTGCAGTCTCATTTCCGTGCTTTTAGGCTGTATGCGGCTCAAGAAACAAGTTGCTTTGGCCAAGTTAATCTTTTTACCAATTTTAAATTGACGTTTGGAAAGCTTTAGTGCATTTATAGCCAAAGAAGACCTAATGCGCTTCACTGTGGATATTTCTGTTACGATTTAAAAATGTTCATTTTGTTTATTGAAGTTTTTATTAAAACAAATGGCAAATGGCACAATTCTTAGCACAATTTTCCGGAAAGTTTCGAGCCCACCAACACTGTAAAACCTGACAATTTAAGTTAACTCAAATGATTTGGGGAAACCGATTGCACAAAGTTTTGTAACTCAAACTATTTGAGTTTATTAAATTATATGATTAGAGTTTAAAGAACACAAAGCAATTGTGTTAAAGCAACTCAAATGCATATGTTTATTAACTCATTTCATTTAGTATGTTTCAACTTAAACATCTTATTATGTTGGACTAAAAAGCTGTTAGTTTTCATACTTATTTAAACTGTTACATGGTCATACTCAAATTAACTTAAAAAGTTWAAAAAAAACAATTAAGTTAAATGATCTTGAATGGTTCCTATTTAAAAAAAAACTTAATACTCCAGTAGAAATACTCAATCCAATTGGGGTAAATGAATGCACCAAACTGTATGAGTAGTATTAACACCACAACAAACTGCAGGTTCAAACACAAGTTAAGGCTAAAAGCCATTAACAAATAACAAATATTAATCTTTTTAACCTGACACTTTCAAGGTACCTGCATATTTATTAATCAGTTTTCTAAATACTTCCAGATTATCTTAGGTGTACATCAGTAAATAAAAATATTGTGTAAAGTGAAAAGAATTTAAATATTTTAGAAGAAATGGTTTTAGTTGTTAACTATAAGCCGAACCAAAAGAATTTTAAAAGAAATTTGGATTAATGGTTTTGTTACTAGTGCACAATATTCTGTTGTATTGACATATTGACATACACCGACAGGAAATGCAAATATAGCTGAACTATAAAGATGTTCCTATAGCCCATGCGTCATGTAAGAATGCAACATTTGTGTTCAATTATGTGAATGTAAAACAGTTTAAATAAAAACATGTGGCTTCTCAACTGGTTTACCCAAACCTGAAAGTCAAAATGGCAAACTAATGAACTGAGACCACTGACACCTGTGCAGGGACAAGCAGGATCAGGTGCAGGCAGGAACAAAGCTGAAACTGAACAGAGGACATACAGTAAATATTGGGGGTGCAACGATACAGAAAAATCATGGTTCGGTTCGATATTTTAGTCTCACGGTTCGATATTTTTTCGAAACAAAAAAGAGAAATTTCCATGCCCTTTCAAACTTGTAATTTATTGAAATTAATTACGAACATTTGTTTAACCTCAAAAGTACAGTTTTTAAATTAAATGTTGCTGAAACAGTAAGTTTCTCAGTGGATCTGCACTCAAAAATGCAGCCTAGGTGGAGTAGTCCAACACAGATCCACTG